TAAATCTAATATTAATAATTCAACAGGAGTTATCTTCAAACTTCTTTTTTCTAACTTCAATTATAGGGCCCAAAAATGTTGACTTATTTAAACCTTGACCACTTGACGTAATTCGGCACTATCAAAAATAATCTCAGTAAATCTAATATTAATAATTCAACAGGAATTATCTTCAAACTTCTATTTTCTAACTTCAACTGAAGATCCCCAAAATTGTTTATCTATTGAAGCATCCAACTTGACGTGATTCTCTACTGTCAAGAGGATTAATACAAATAGAAAATAAAAGAGAGAGAGAGAGAAGATAGAGATAAAGATAGAATGAAACTCTAAACGTAAAAGGGAGAGAAGATACAGAGTAGAGAAAATCGTCTCTCCAATATCACCCACGTTGTCTACGTCTACAAAGTTGAGAGTTGATGGTCGCTTAGAATTTCGAGTCTCTCACTTGCTCACATACTCACACACACAATCAGTGAGTCACTCACTCACACAGTCTCTCAGTCAGTCACTCACTCACACAATCAGTGAATCACTTACTCACACAGTCAGTCAGTCAGTCACTCACTCACTCAGTTCACAATTGTAGAGAAGAAGAAGTAGAAGAAGAAGAAGAGTTGCAGAAACAGCAGCAACTTCAGCAGCAGCAGCAGCACGAACTGTTACGACCGATCGATGCGTTCTTCTTTTGTCGTAAGCACTATTCCTGTCTCATTCTTTTACAAATTCCTAGTAGTAGTTGTTCATCATCGTCTTTTTCTTCTACTATCATCTCATATAACTTAAAAAGCTCTGTTGTTTTCTTATACGTGTGTGTTAGAAAAGAAAGAAATAAAGATAAAGATAAAGAGAAAAGGAAACGTGTGTACACACAAGCAAGCGAATATAAACGAACAAAAATGAAAGAGAGAGAGAGAGAAAGAGACAGGGAGAATGTGAAAATGAAAAATTTCATGAGATGAAAAAGTATGGTTGGTGCGACGAGAGTTCGGCAATTGGCAAGCAACTTGTGCATGCATGCACAAGTTTTTAGCATCGCAAAGGGTAGTGTGGTGTTCCTTATATCAGTGTGTGTGTGTATATATAGAGAAAGAAGAAGAAGAAGAAGAGGAAGAGGTAAGAAAAGAGGTGTGTGTAGTTTCTCGTCGAGTATGCAAATTTTCTCTCCGACATCTTTCGATATGTGACGTCACAAAGGGGAAAAAAGTACAGCGCCTTTAGTACTTAAGTTTCCTTTCTTCTTTATTCTTTTCTTTTCTTTTCTTTTCTTTTCTTTTCTATTCTTTTCCTTTCATTTCTTTCTTTCTTTTTTTTTTCTAACTCGTCCCATTTCCCGCAGATTCGAAATTTCTTACGTTCTAAGTTATATAAAAGAATAGAGGAACGAGATGATTTGGAAAATAAAAAAAAACTGGTATACGTAAAAAGTTATAATTCTTTAGCGTAACAAAACGAATATAACCTGAAAAATCATTTCAATTTTCCCGCCCATCGTAAATATCGACAACTTCGTGGTGTTGATTTTTCGATCGCATCTAACCTCACTTTCTAAAACGCGCCAAAAGAAGTATAACCTCAAAAAGTATAAAAGAAAAGGCGGGCGTGTAAGTATGTGTGCGTATGTGTGCGTATGTGTGCGTATGTATGCGTGTGTGTTTTTATGCATTTATAATATAAAGAAATAAATGAACTCACCGTGGAGGGGTTTTGGAACATATAGATTGAGATAGAGGCAGTCTTCGCTTCGATTCGTCAACAAAGGTGCTATCCTTTGCAGATAAGCGCGCCTGGATTTCGGTAAACTCTCGTCCGATTCCGGTAAATTTTGCGGGCAAGCCGGTGGCAAGGTGTCGGCGAATTTGGTACCGCGCCAGGGCGTTGGGGTAACCGGTGGCATGTATCGTAATGCACCAAGAGGTGGGGTAGCGTAAGGCACGCCGTAATAAGTTTCGACGTTGGGGGATGATCTTGCGATGACTCCTCGCAAAATACCATATCTAGTAGTGACCGTACGTGTACTGTACTTTTGATTGGCCGGCAAAGCGTCGGCAAGACTTTCCCTGCATTGTATTGCACATAAGAGGCAACAATATATTACGAATAAAATTGCCCTCGGCAAATTACGATACAATAATGAACATTTATTATTCGATATAATTTCTGATTTATATCGCAGAAATTTATCATCATCATCATCATCATCATCATCATCTTCTTCTTCCTCCTTCTTCTTCGTCTTCTTCCTCCTCTTCCTCTTCTTCTTCCCCTTATCATTATTATTATTATTATTTTTATTATTATTATTATTATTATTATTATTAATATTATTATTATCCTCCTCGAAGAATTCGTGGACCAATTTAGAGTAACCCGATGACGATGATTCCTCAATAGAGGATGATCCTTTAACGTACCATCCGCTATTAATCGGCAACAATTGGTGCTCCACTTTCGTCTTCCTCTTCCTCGAACGAAACGAGGAAAAGGTCGTCCGCATCGCGTCACGCCGCCGCGGACTCGCCGGCCCACCGGGCCCCGCATCTGTGGGGCCCTCCTTCCCACCCTCCTCCTCTTCCCCCTCCTCCTCCTCCTGCCCTTCTTCTTCTTCTTCTTTTTCTTTCTATTCGCACCTCACCGAACACCTTTTCCACCACCACTAACTCCCTTTCCTCCTCCTCCTCCTCCTCTTCTCGACCACCCTCCCCCTCTTCCTCTTCTTCTTCTTCCTCCTCCTCCTCCTCCTCTTCCTCCTCCTCCTCCTCGTGTTCGTTAAATCCGGCGCTCAACAACAACAACAACAACTCTGCTACCTGCACGCTGCTGCTGTTCGTCTTTCCTGCACTAACCCTAACTTCCATTCTCAAGGACGTACCCTTCTCCAAAATTATCTACGACGAACCCCCGAGCTTATCCTTTTTGCTCGGAAGTCGCCCCACCTCTCCTCCCCCACACCCACCCACCTCTTCCTTCTATTATACTTTCTTGCAATTTTTCTTTTTTTTTTTTACTCTTCTTTATTTTTGCAAACCACCACTACCAACACTACCACCACCACCACCTTTATTTTTCTTCCTTTTCCTCTTCTCCTCCGTCGTCCTTTCGCAAATAATTTCGTTGGACGAGACGACAACGATCATCGATGAAACTTCGATTCCTAGGGAAAAACGTATAAAAAAAAAAAAAGAAATAAAAAGATTTTGTTCTCTCTCACCCTCTCACCCTTTCATCCCCTATCCCTCTCTCTCTCTCTCTCTCTCTCTCTCTCTCTTTAGCACCCTCTCCAATCTCTATTTATCTTCTTCTGTAAATGATGAGATCACACCACCACCATCACCACCATCACTACCCCGAACACCACCACAATAACCATCATCAACATCAACATCACCACCACCACCACCATTACTAATACCACGAATTCCAAGATCCTCTGGAACAAGGATGAAGTGTGAAATAGAGAGAGAGAGAGAGAGAGAGAAAGAGAGAGTGACTCGTCGTTACCAACCAACCCCTTTCGTCCCCACCCCCATACCCGTTGTCCCCAGAGTGATAACTTCGAATTAAGGTCGAGCGAAGTGACAGGAACGAAATATCGGGCGGAATTAATGAGAGAAAGAGACAAGGACGACGACGACGACGACGACGACGAAAAAAAAGAAAGAGAGAGAGAGAGAGAGAGAGAGAGAGGAAAAAAAGAAATCAGAGAGTACTTCGTCTCCGATGATACGAGAGACAGTGAGAAGATATGTAAAAAAAAAAATAGGTCGGCTGCTGTTGACAAGATATATTATGTGTGTATATATATATATGTATATATGTGTGTGTGTGTGTGTTGTGTGGGTTAGTGTATATGTAGAAAGAGAGAGAGAGAGAGAGAGAGAGATATATGAATTGGGTAGCCTCGAAAGTTCGTGCTGATTGATATATGTATATATGTATATGTTCTTTTTCTTTGTTCTTTTTTAATTCTCTTTTCGCGATTAATTTTTGTTATTAAATTACATTAATATATTTTAAAAAAAAAAAACTAAATTAAATAATAATTTATCGGACACAAGTTGGTTTGATTAACGGGGGATCGATTGTATTGTTCAAACAAATTTCGTAAACGCGATTTAGAAAAGAAAAAACAATGTATCGCTTAGATACATTTCGATTAATATATATATTATTATATTTATTTTGTGTGTGTTTGTGTGTGTAAATATTATTGTATATTATTTGATTAATAATTTGATATCGAAAAACCCCCCCTCCCAAAAAAAAAACAGCAACGGAAACTATAATAATGCATTTAAGATGTAATTTGAAGTGATTCCTTCGATAAATAGGTTGCACGATTTTTTTTTTTATATCGTGGTTCTTTTCTACGATATTATTACGTGAAATTATTACGCTATTATATAGTCAAGCAGGAAGAGGAGGAGGAGGAGGAGGAGGAGGGAAAGAAATCTCAAACTTTGTGATGTGAATCAAGTTAGCGAATTGGTTTCAACTCGGAATAATAAAATTGAATATAAACATTTATTTAGTATCAAAAAGATGATAAAATTTCGTAGGAAAGGATAGAATGAGATGGTGGCGAGGGGGCGGGAGGGGGTGATTTTAAGGGGATGAAATCTCGAACTCGTCGAATTGATTTTATTCGTAATCGAATATAAGAACACAATTATTTTGTGCACTCGTTCTCACTCTGTGATATCATTTTTTTCGGTTTTCGTTTCGATGTAAGAAGAAAAAATGAATAAAAAAAAAAAAAAAAGGGGTATAAATGAAAAAGCAAGTAGTATAAACGATAGGAGGGAGGATCATAAGAAAATTGTGATCGTCCGTCGTCAGTTATGGTGTTCTATCCAAGTTATGTTCGTACTTCATCGTTTGAGGGCTTTGCAACTCGGAAAAGAGGATCGATCTTGTCGTCGGATTATATTACGTGGCGATAACTAACTCACTCTCATTCTCGGTGACTAAAAGATTCTTTTTATCCACAAAAAAAATTGTGGAATAAATATTGTGATAGAAAAATTATCTAATATGAAAAATAATCAAATAAAACTAAGAAGAAAATGAAAAATGCGTTAAAGTTGCTGTTGGATAATCCTTCTCTCTTGCAATCGAATAAATATTTTTTTTATTTTGTTTATTTTTTTGTTTTTTTTTTTGTTTTTCACAAAACCCTTTTCGTAACCACCAATCAAACTATCTATATTTATTGGAAACATTCAGTGTATACCATAAGCATATATTTTAGATTATTTTTGTGCATATTTGTTCGTTCGTTTGTTTGTTATACGATCGTATCGTGTTTTCGATTCTATTACCAATAATAATTGTTGAAAACAATACGTTCTAATAGTAGATCCAAGTTATTTCATTTTTTTTTTTTATATTTTTTTGACAAGTTTCTTTTTACGACTTATATGGTTATAACGTCGTCATGATATTATTCGGGAAAAATGGTCGAATGACAAATAACGAATCTTCTTCAAGTTCATTTTACCATCCTCGTTTTAAGGTAATACGATCGAATCGGATAAGGGTGTTGATAAAGTGCTTACAATCTTCCGTCGGCGAATATTCAGATAAATCTTTCCCATAGGATTCCACGTGATAAATTTGATCTATTATTTCTCTCTCTTTCTCTCTCTCTCTCTCACAAACACACACACATACTCTTTTCAATCATTAACACGAATAATAATGAATAGGATAAAAATTCGAGAATGATTTTCTATTCGTTTTCAAGAAGAATAATCAAAGCTGATGATAAAAATAAAAAAAAAAAATAAAAAAAGGACCCCCTCTGCTACGCCGACTCCACTTCCTCCTCCCACCCTTCCACCCTTCCCGTTAAAGTAATAATAAAGTAAACGAAGAGTAATCCTAGATTTACACGGCTCGTTTAACTTTAATCTAATCCGAAGTTAAACCGACGGCAGTGGCGGCGCGCTTGCTTTCCTTCAACTTTGAGGAAACCAAACCCCATGGCGCGCACCCCCGGATCCCATTTTATTCGAACAAACTCTACTCTTCTTTACTTTACGCGCGATACTTACAAATTTTCCCGTTGAAACTTATAAGGTATATATATATATATATACTATAATATCAAAGTATAAGAAGAAAATTAACTGAAAGTGGAGAACTAGAGAACTAAATAACTGGAACTAGAAATCTTGTTATACGTATGATTCAAAACTTGATGATAATAATAATAACAATAACAACACCTTTACGATATCCCACGTATTCCATCGGATATATACGTGTAATAATTAATCATGTTACGCGACATCATTTTAAAAATTAAAACTGATGTAATTCTTCACCCCCGTCCCATCTCGTGTTTTCATTAATAAATAATAAAAGAATGAAAAATAAATAAATAAATAATACATATATATATTAAGTCTTCGCGTAAGATGGGGTATGTGAAGATTAATCACGTTCTATTCCAATTTCACATTTCCGTATTCATGATTATTATAATATTTTTCTTTGACATTAGTTTTATCATCGTACACACAGTCCACCATTTAGGATAACACCTGCCAGCAACACAACCGGCACTATTATTAATATCTCATTCATTGAAAAATCTATCCTCGATCATATTTCCCCTAAATCTTTGGTTTATCTCACTTTCGCGGGTTAAAGCTTGGAGATTGACGACGAGATTCAAATAGAAAACAACGAGCCCCGATTACGAAGAGAAAGAGAGAGAGAAAGAGAGAGGGAGAGAAGCCGCAGCAAGGGTGCGCACGATCGGCTATCTGTCCCGGGCTCTACTGCCGCGCGAGGAGCCATCGTGCGACCCCCATGAAGGTGCCACTGGTGGTGGTGGTGGTTGCGAAAGTGGTGGTGGTTGCAAAAGTGGTGGTGGTTGCAAAAGTGGTGGTGGTGGTGCTGGTGCTGGTTGGTACTGGTGCTGCTGGTGCTGCTGATGCTGGTGGTGCTGATGCTGATGCCGATGGTGATGCTGTTGGTGGTGGAAATGGAAGTGGAAGTGGTGCTGGTTCTGCTGCTGGTGCTGGTGCTGGTGGTGATGGTGGTGGTGGTGGTTGTGATGGAGAAGGAGGATGGTCCGGCACTCGAGGAAGACGGAGAGGGGAAAGACAGGAAGAAGAGGAGGGGGGTAGAGGGGTATCCAGAGCGCCGACGCCTGCTTTCCTACCGACCACCAGTCCGGTCGATAACGCCACGGCAACCCCTGGCTGCTTCCGATTCTCCTCTTCCACCACCCCCCACCCTCCTACTA